CCCTGGTACAGGAAGACAGTCTTATAACAAGAGGTCCTTCACAATCGAGGGATATGGGATACCATCAGGAATACACTCCAGGGTTTTCCAAAGTGTGGGCTGTGACCCCATGAATATCACTGAGACGTAGAAATGGGGTGAGGAATCTGTGAGACTAGTTACCTGTACTCAGGGGAGAAGAGCTGTGTAGCAGCAGCCAGGATGGGGCAGGGTGAATGGTGCATGTAGAAAATCAATCATGGGGTGAAGTGACATGAGGAGCTGGTGAGCAGAGAAAAGTGATGTTGTAGGTGGTGCTAGAGCTAATTACCCCCAGTGAGATTTCTAGGCTATGGGTTAGAAAGTAACTGCACTTTCATGGAGCTGGAGAAACCGTTCTTTATGATATTCTATAAAGAACTGGAAAAAAGAGCACCCCCCAAAAACAGAGAGCATTATGACTGCAATACTTTATCACACAGAGGAAGTCCTGATGGGTTTCACAAGGAGCATGCAATACAGATGACTTTTACACTCTTCCTTGTGGATCCCCTCCGCCCCTCCACCCCCCAGGGAAGGAGGGGTAGTATGCACTGAGCCTGCCCCCAGGTACTAGGGTTCATCATGGTCCCCACCGTATTTCCCATGCAGGTCTTGCAGCAACAGTGTTCCTCCCTGTAGTTTGGCGGTTGTACTACAGTTCCAACAGCCCCCTTATTTATCCCTCTTTCTCCAATTCGCTCCAGGGAATGTACAGCTGTTGCAGCAGTGAAGACCCCAAAGTCCCAGATCAGCAGCAGCTACCCATCCTTAACCACACCTACGGGCCGTCGCGAGGTGCAGCCCCAGCGTTGCCCAGCCCCCCTGGCCCTCCACTTCCCTGTTCTAGCTTCCTGCCTCGCGAACGGCGCATTGTGGAACGGTGGCGCCACGCTCGTAGTCCCAATTGCTACAAGGATCTGTACCCTCCGACGCCTACAGAGCTCCCCACAACCAAACCCCCACGCCATAGCCTCAAGAGCCCTTTCTCAGATGGCTTCCACCGGTTCTATGGGCCCATTGAACCAGAAGGGCTGTCCGATCACGTCAGTGGCAAAAAGATGGCGCCCTGTCAGCTGTCTCCGCCGCCACCCTCCCGGGGGCTGGAAAATCCTCCGTCATATTTTGCCATTGTGCGTGAGAAAGAAACTCCCGACATGCCACCGGTGGCATCGGGCTGGCAACGCAAATCCCTCCGTGGGTTGTATGAAAGTTTCCAAGCCGGAAAAGCGGCGAGCCGAGCCCCAGAGGTGAAGAAGTATGATGGCTCCTCCAGTGGCTATGCGACCAAAAGCCCTTGTGAGTTGGAACGGGGCAGCAGTCGGCCTTTTGGGAAAGAACGGGGTCGGTATGGCTACACACGGCTGTCCTATGAGGATGAACGCTCCCCACCTGTTTCCCGCTACAGACATGCTGAAGAGACGTCTCTGCCTCGAGCCGAAACAGAAGTCAAATGCCCGACGTCATCCAGCCGAGAGAGGAGCTCCCGGGCTCACATTTGCCGCAGTCATTCCCACCCGCTTGCCGTAGGTGCCAGCTTGCGCAGCCAAAGTCATTATGTGGATTTTTCTGACTCTGATTCTGACATCTGTGAGAGGGACAGTGATGGACATAGCTGCTGGTACCAGTCGCCGGATTATTTCTGCACATACCCGTCCCGAGAGAGGCAGCTCTTTGCCACGCATAAGCCCCTGCACTACTGGTCAGCCGACAAGTTGGCCAAGTGCCACGGATGCCACGGTCCCTGCCAGCACTGCCTGAGCTTGGAAATGCTCCCGCCACCCACCCCACCATGCCGCAAGGAGGCCTTGCGCTACTTGAGCTGTTCTGAGGAGCGTCTGGAACGCCGGCTGGACTGGGAGCACCGCCACTGTAGCCTGTATGGATGCCTGGCTCCTCGCCACCGCCACGGCTTTCACCGACGCTGCCATCACCATTCCTGCGAGCTGGGGCCAGCTGGCGGAGTTCTACATCCCACCTCCCGCAGCCTGGAGGACCTCAGCTCTTGCCACATGGTGCGCTGCGGGGCCTCCCATCGACACCAGGGCGGCTTCTCGCCAGATTGGCTGCCACGCCGGGTGAGCAGAAGCGGGGAGCTTTTTGCCCGCCGTGGTTCTGCCCATTTCTCTAGCCTGGAGTCAGAGGTATGACCAGCAACAGGTGGGGTGGGGGTGGGGGTGGGGGTGGGGAAAGAGGCTTCAGATGGGACAGCAGGAAAAAAAAGACTGAGCTGTAGTTGAGCTCACACAGTGGGGACTGAGGTGGTGGAGATGGCACTGTGGTTCAACCCAATGGGAAGAAGGGAGGACCACGAAGATGACTGCAGAGAGGGGGAAGCAGAACAGTGCCACAAGTGAATCCACCAAGACAAAGGGCATGCCACCAGGATGCCACCAGGAATATATGTGATAGGACCACATCTCCCTGCCACAGAAAAGGGGAAGTGTTCAACCAAAAGAGTATCACAGATAAAACAGTGGGGACTGGAACCACCAATAATCTCATTAAAAAACCCAGGGGAGTGGAGATGATATGTCAGAGAGGGGTAACACCCTGAGACTGCTACCCCAAGTGCCACCAGAATAGCTCCCTGTGACAAAACACCCAGTCCCAACCACCAGCCGATTTACAGCAGGGGGTAGAGGGGAACTGGTCTCTCCTGTGTATCCATAACAGACCTTTTATATCCAGAAAAAGGGCTTTTCTGCCACCCTGTGGCACATCGATGGGGTAGGTTCCTGTGGCCAGGGGCAATTGGCTACTGCAACAGCAGGGCTGTTACTCTCTGAACAAAACCCGAAAGAGTGCCAATGAAATGAACCAATCATGAACCTGGAGAGAGTCTGTGTCCCCATGTAGACTGGCAGCAGGGGGGATGTGCCATCAGTCAGGCTCCGGAGGGGGTGGGGAGGGGCTTGGACAACAATAACCACAAAACTGTCTGGACTTCTGGGTGGGAGGGGATGTTAGGAGACAAAACTGTGACTTTGTTCAACAGAAAACTGTGATATTTCCCCCCCTGCACATTTCCCTCTTCTCCCTTCTTGCTTTCTTTGCTCTTCTTAACCACCACCTTCTTTCTCCTTCCCCCCTGCTTTAATCTTGCAATCATGCACCCATTATGGTAGAGATAGCAACACATGCAAACATCATTGGATGCTGAAATGAAAACACACACACACACACACACACTTGTGCGCTGTAATGGGCAAAAGCAATCACTGCCCCCCAAACCACATAGACAAACCAGTCCCATGACTGAAAGTGTCTGATTTCACAAATCCTACATCAGTGCACCAAAGCTCTCAGTATTAAGAGAGCTATTGCAGAAAATGACAGAAAACATGACTATATAGACTGAAAGGGCACCTGCACTTCAAACCAAACAAAATTAAATCTAATAGAATAAAAACCTCATTCAACAGATAATATACTATATATTCTCATTACTAAAATTACCACACACCATCTTAATGCTGGTTGCTCTAAGCTAAGAAGCTGGAACACTGGATGTAAGAGTGATTATAAAAGTTATTTACATGCTTCCTGCTTGAGGGGGGAACTGTGCATCTCCCATTGCAAGGGAAGATAAATGTGCTCCCAATGCAGGTACACCTTGCCCACCTTTCCACAGAGAAGATACACAAGTTCTCCTTTTGCTGGAGACTGCTGATGAGTGGGAAGGCAGACCTTAAAGCCAGCTGAAAGCCCAGTCTCTGCACTATTCTGGAAAATGCCCAGCCTTAGAATTTTGCAAGTTTCTAGGAGAAACTTTTGCAAATACGAGAAGCCAAGTGTACTTAAGTAGCAGGTGTGAAGGAAAGAGTTTTTCACTCAGCTTGCAAATGATCTGAGATCCACTGCAACATGATGTGGCTATTAATCAGCAAACTGTGCTATTTCTTTTTTGAAAAAAAGAAAAAACAATGAGACAAAACTCATGGAGGACAGGAATATAAATGGTTAGTAGATGGGAGTCTTGGCATGGTTCTAAACCTTAAGACAGCAGGAATCCAGAAGAGAAAAGGGAGAACAGGGTATTCTTTTATTATATTTCATCTCTAGAATGTTTGGAACTTTCCCTAAAGCAGAGGTGAGTAACATAAATTCCACGGGCAGCATTACAGATTAACTCAAGTTTTGGGGGCAAACTAGAGTTGAAGGCAGCAAACCCATATGATACAACCAGGCCGCTGCCAAGTCCAACATCACAACCACTTCTCCATAAGCAGTGTTCCCCTGATGGGGTGAAGCCAGAAGTAATAGCTACCAGGAAAAAGGCAGCTCAGGAGACGTGGTGGTGGTAATAGGGTCACGGGCAGGAATAATGTTCAGCATCCACCTTCCACCTGTGCTGCACTCTTTTTCTCATCCTGCCCCTGCTCTATGGGAATTTGGCACAACCCACATTTCAACACAAGGGTCATGTCATGAAGCAGTCATGTCATTTTGCCCCTTACCCAAGGCTCTCAGTCTTCTCCAGAAACCTTGAAAATGAGGATTCTGAGGAAATCAAAAAGACCATGCACATGAAACAAAGCCTTGCCAGGGCCACGAGTGGCTTGTAGACTGTGTGTCGCCAGTCCCAGCCCCGCTAGGAGACATAGCCAGTGCTGTGTGCGCTACAATTCCAGGCAAGTGCCAATTTGGTGTTAGGGACAGAATGTTGCACTCTGCAAATCTAATTTTTGTAAGATCAGTTTGAAGTGCTCAGCAGGTCTGAAGGCAGGTCTGGCTACAGGCCTTAGAGGGCCCTCAACAAAGTGTCCTCTGCTGGGGCAGGGACCGTGCATTGGTGGCCATAGGCTTCCTTAGCAGCCACAGGCACCTACAAGGCATCATTTTAAACTTCCCGTAGTGCTCCTGTTGCAGCATAGCAGGAAGTTTAAAATGGCATCCCACAGACCCAGCCAGTTGACACTGGCGGACCCTGCCAAAGTGCTAGACTGCTCAAAGGACGCCACAAGGTGAGGCTGGGCTTACCAGATTTGTAGGCATCTCCAGGGCCCAGAGGGTGGTCTCTAAGTGCTCTGTGGCACTTCTCTCTCTGTGAAAAGCAGAAACAGAATGAAGCAACAAAGCAAAGAAAGCCACTTGTTTCTTTAATCTGTCAGCTTTCCTCGGCACTGTGCAGGAGCCACACTGGCACGCAATTTCAATGGACCACAGAGCAGACACAGGTCCAGGCCACCACTAACCACTTTGACCCAGTAAAGCAGCAGCACCTCTCCTCTCATCCATCCTCCCCTAGCCAAGTGAGGCTTGTGCTCAGCAAGGCCTCGTTTGAAGTGCTGTGTTTGGTTTTGAGCACCTCAGTTCGAGCAGGATGTTGACAAATTGAAAAAGATTCAGAGGAGAGCTGCAAGGATGATCAAAGGTCTGGAAGGCAAGTCATATGTGGAGATGCTGAAGTAACTGGGTCTGTTTAGCCTCGAGAAAAATAAGATGAAGGGGGCGGGGAGAGAGAGAGAGAGATGTTGACAGTTTTCAAATATTTAAAAAGGCGTTGGAAAGCAGAGGGAGAGAACAGCAGATGGAGAGGACATAAAACAATGAGCTTTAAGTGTATAGATCTGGCCACATCCTGTCAGGCTGGCATTACTGAGCTGCAAAGGGAGAAAGGAGCAAAGGTCCTCACCGTGTCTGGTCACAGGAATTGTGAGGGAACTCTAGTGGAACCAGTGAATCCTCTTTTTTACTGAGGTGCTAGCATTTTTGCGAAAAAAGTCCAGAAATGAAGTCCTGATGAGGGGGGCAGTAATGGGATAAGGCCCAGACCGCTTCTGGGAAAACCAGCTGGTGCTGGCACACCCCTAATTATTCAGCCACCAAACAAACCGGCAGGTCTCCTATCTGCTGAGGAGACTTTAAGTGTACAGGATGTCCTGTCTCAGGGCTGGAGTTGGATCCAAGGGTCTCTAGAGTCCCTTGCAACTCTAAAAGTTATCCAATACAGTGGCAAGAAGAGTGGCACGGTCCCAGGTGCCAGAGTCACATACGGTCACTCCCAAAATGGTGCACACACTGCCAACAGTGAACTGCAGGGAGGGGAGGGGGAACACACTCCCAATCACACAGCCACAGTCAAGCACAAAGGCATACAAGCACACACCAAACAATCACGCCTGCAGGTAGAGAAACGAGCCTCTGCATATAAAACCCACCATTGCGCAAAACAGACTTAATGTGCCGCTTAATGGAGCTTGCACAGCAAAAAAAGGTACCACAATTTTTTAAAACAAACAAACATTGCAAGCACACAGCCTCCATCTCAGATACAGGTAGGCAGGATCGAAGCCACACAAGCATTTCAAAGGAACCCACAATCACACATGTATACAAATCACACCGACAGAGGCGTTTGCAAAAAGCAGCCGTGCCAGGACTGCGGCACACTTGACGTTTTCCCCCGGCGTGGAGATAAGGGTAGCACCATTGCTTGCCTTGTGGCAGGACTGTGGGCCTAAATGGTTTAGGAAGCGACGTCACGTGTGAAGTGGCCCCTGAGTCTATAGCAGCAAAGGGCAGCGCCAGGAAGGGCAATGTGTTTGTTGAGACGCGCATCTTTTGTAAGCAAAATCTGCTAAAGATTTCACTAAGTGTGCACAGGACCCACCGACACGGAGATCTAAGGCCATAGGAACTGTAGCATACATGAAAATGTGTGACATAAAATGCACCACAGAAGAGGTGCACCCCCCAAACCTCCAATAAATGAACACTGAGATACAACTACATGTGCAGAATCGGGACCACATGCAGTCTCCCTCACAAGTAAACTAACAACCATAAATAAACCCATAATAACCTCAGACTCGCACTCCCAACCTTGCTTTCTCTTTCTCTCTCTTTGTGTCTCTTTGTCCCTTTTCCTATTTTGGGGGGGCAATTTAGTAATAACTTTAGAACTGCTGTTTTAGGGAGCGGGCTATGTGGGTGGGGGTGGTCTTTCTTGGAATGGGTGGGGTTTCGCTGGGGTGGGGTGGGGAAGTGGGACCATGGGGCAGCGCCCCACGACAGAATGGGGCAGGGTTTGGGTGGGGCAGGGACCCAGGCATCCGGATGGGGGGGAGGGGCTAGGGTTTTCGATACTATTTTAGGGCGTTCATAAGAAATAAAGGCTTTTTTAATCCCGCTCAGACCTTGCCCCAGTGTGGTTTCTCTGCGTGTGTGCATATTTGGGGAAGCTTTCTTATTTAAGGTTTGCGTTCCTTTTTTTCTATACTGATGAGTCACAAAAAGCAAGGCAAGCTCCCCCCATCCTCTCTTCACCCACCTCCCTCTAACAAACCGCCAGCCTTGTTTCAATCTCACACAACAGCAGAAAACAAAAATAAGAACCAAGGAAAAAGAGGGAGCAGGTAATTTGCTTACATTAAGAACCAAACTATAGGTGGTGTTGATCACATACATAGTTTGTCCTTGAGTGCACAATTTTTATTTCATAAATAGCCAGCAGGAGTTCCTCCACTGCAATTCAATGCAGATTGGGCCCCTGCAAGGCCTTCCCCCACTCATGTAAATTGCAGCCATGCCTCCCCCCTTCCAATTGAGACTGCAGTGAGCTAAACAGCACTTATGCCCCACTCTCCAGAGTCCCAGTCTTGATTTCTAAAAGAAAAATCATGCACTCAGGGGCAAATCATGTGATTAATGTCATGGATAGTTTGGCACTTCATCCCAAAAAATAAGCAAAGATAATACCAGATTTTCTTAATGTGGCTCTCCTTGGCACAAAATATGGAGTCTGGAATTTTTAGCTGTTCAGTGCCACAACTTTACGGTTAAATGTTTCCCAAGTCCCCATTAAGAAGTCTAGAGGAAGAGCCATAGGGTGGCTTGCTTTAGACAAAGCAGCGCTGGAGACTTGTGACATCTATTTAACATCTGCTTGTTTATAAGTAAGCAAGCAGACCCTCCAGACTCGTGTTTTATTGTGGATGTATTCTGCAACATGTTCTTAACACAATAATAGTAAATTAACGGTGGATTTTGTCTGTTTTGTTGGTTGTTCTGTGATGCTTTCCCAGTGTTATGGCTGTCTGAAAGGGCTACAGAGCAATAGAAGTGGGACAAAAATTAACCAGAAGATTTGTGGAATAAAGTTATGAGATTTCAGCAGGATGTTACAGGGCATGCACTGACTGGAAATGAAGCAATATGACCACTCCAGAACTTTTTGCAGGCATGAATAGTATCGAAAGCAGGATCACGCATGACGACCCTGATAGCATCATGAGCACAAATTATCATGAACGCACAAGAAAAGGGATTTTTGAAGCAGGCAGCTCTACCACCAATTCGGCATGAAATATCCAAAGAGCAACTGTACCTCTCTTAGCCATGCCCCAGCTTTAAAAAACAAATAAATCTCACAGCTCTCTCTGAGGGCTTATCCACACTTACCTTTTGCCCCAGAGCTTTCATGGAGATTCCCTATGAAAAACTGCTCTTTAGCGCTTAATCAGAACAAACAGCAGATTGACGTTTGCTACGATTGAGCACTAAAGAGTGGGTTTTCACAGGGGAAAGCTCTGGAACAAAAATAATGATGCCTAGACACGTAGCTTTAAAGTACAGACCTTGCCTGGAAAGAGCGGGGAGAGAGCTAAGTATGGATAAGCCCTGTCTCTGTTCCAGTTCAAAATTGCTGGTTTCCCTTTCCCTGCCAGGGTGTCACCTTCCAACAGAAGTGGGGGAAAGACCTTTCCCGTCATCAAGCAACATATTTTTTAAAATTCAGTTCCTGACCATCCATAACCTGCCCAGTGATAGGCCCATTCCTAATAAACAAAAATTTCCAAAACCTTAACAATGCAGTCCGGCCTCTTACAGTACATGGCACTCCACTGTGTACCTTGAGTGTGTTGATTTAACCTATAACAACACATAGCATTGGCAGAATCATAGAATCGTACAGTTGGAAGGAACCCAAAGGGTCATCTGGTCCAACCCCCTGCAACCAAGCAAGACTGGATTATCCATGGTGCAATTGGAACAATGGCACCAGGGCCCATGTCTGCAAGGCAGCAGAGAGTTTGATCTCCCCCCCCACACACACACACAAAAGTACATCCCTAGTCCTTTGGGAAGAGACGCTATAAATCATAATGTTTGAAGATTGAAGATCATATTTTACTGAAGTTGGGGGCGGGGAGGGGAGGGGAAACAGGTTTCATATTACTCTGCAGAGTGCTTCAAGAAGTCAGCAGGGCCCCGCTTCCACACTTGCTGGCTGAGAAGTAGCTCTCTCCCCTTCACTTTAGAGGGTACTCTACAAGGTGGCTGCCTATGCACCTTTTGGGGAGGATTGGGGGGCTAAAGAAGGCAATGCAGTGATGGCAGAAGTAGAAATGGGTGTGTGTGGAATATATATTTGTAAGTAGTGTTTGTGTGTTTGCCGGGGTGTGTGTGTGTGTGTGTGTGTGTGAGAGAGAGAGAGAGAGAGAGAGAGAGAGAGAGAGAGGGAGGGAGGGAGATAGAAAAAGAATATGACTGTACCAGAATGCCCAATGAAATTCATTGCTAAACGTGGGTTTTAAATATTATTTGATGGAGATGCCTTTGATCAGGCATGTTTATACCCAGTGCAGAACATTGGAAAGTTGTTTTGTTTTTTAGGAACATAGGGGTCTAAAACTCAATAATCAAACCAGACTAAAAGTGGTTGAAGCCTCGGAGCTGTACTAATTAATCTGTGAAGGATGTGTGTGCAGAAAAACACAACCCCTTATTGAACAAAGATGTATCAGTTTAGTCAAAGGAACCAACATTTGGTGTCTATGATACAAGCACTAAGTTCCCTTTTGCAGTCATTTTGCACCACCTAAATCTTCACAACAACCATTGAGGTATTTTAGGCTGAGAGTTGGTGACGGGTCAAAGGCAGAAAGTGCGTAAAAACAGTGATGAGTTAAGTACACATGCCCAGAGTATTTTCTTTTTGTTTATCAAGATTGGCACACACACACAAACAAACAAACGTTTGCAGTTTGCTGACAATTGTGAAACTGCATATGTTCAGGATTGATGTTTTTTGTAATCCAT